ACCCGAATTTCTCTGGCTGGAATCTAAGCCCATTCTCATTTTCTCAAAGTTGGTGATAGGTGATTCATACTTCCTCTGTAACAAGGTCAGATTGAAGGTTTGTATTTATGCAACCATTAACATCATCGGTCTTAAATGGTGGTGGTTTTTGGACTCTCCATAACCTACCTATAACCTGTAATCTGGCTGATTATTTGATCTAGGTACAAAAAAATTTAAAACTGACACACACAAGCACACATATATTCACACACAACACGTGCATTTTCTTCTGTTCTTCAATACATCTACAAATCGAATCCAGCCTTAAGACCTTCGAATATATGAGGAATGTGAAGAAAGAGAAATGCCTCCTTGTCTGAGTTCTTTAAAGCAGATAAGCCTAAAATGAACAATGGGGAACACTTTAACAGTCTAGATTAAACTTGGTTTTCCAATCAGCAGTTTAGCAGGGGTTGGTTTGTCTTTTAAAAGAAACCAAACCACAGGATTAGCGCCAAGGTGTCTCTCAATTCTGAAAGTTCCACACTAACTGTGTTTCAAATAGCTCATCCTCAGAAGGTTTATTTATTTATTATTTTTTGACATCACCCTCCTTCCTTGCTGTGGCTGCTGTTCAAGCATAGCAAGCAATCAAATTCAACTAAGGCCTTGATCAAGTTTGCTCTTTCTAGCTCAGGGCCAGGAAAATAGAAACCAGCGCATGGTCCCATGGACGCTTAGAAGGAATTTCCGGGACCAGCAGTTTGCGTATGAGGCTGGACTCCCATATAGTCGACCGCGGTTTGAGTCCCGGACCTGGTGGCTTAAACTCACGCCGGGCGTGTGTGCGTGTGTGTCCAAGATCCCGAGAGGAGAATGGAGGAGAAGGGATTGCAGCGTGGCCATCCCCCCCCGGGGGGTGATTTCTCACTTTCTGTCTCTCTGTCTCTGTCTTTCTGGTGAGCGCACGCACCCTATAGCAAAAACCTCTCCCCCAAAAAAAGAAACACGCACATGAAAAAGAAGGAATTTCCTCTTTCAATCCATGACCTGAGTATCCAGTGGCAACTTGTGGAATAAAAGCCGGCTAAAGTGTTGTTCTCAAACATGTTTATTTGTAACAGTTTTACATGGCGTGTTACAGAAATTAATGGAAAATTTCTAAAAATTTTGCCGTTCTGTTGAATGCATTGTACATAAAGTTAAAAATAATGTGTCCATATATGTTAACAAACTGTCATCTGAGGTAAAGTTAAAGTAGGTCTAGAAATGTACTGCAACAGTCATTTTCTCTTTCTCATCTTTATTAAAAAAATATGTGTCAGAACGCAGAAATTGAAATGAACCAAACCCACAGAGTAAACATTTTTTTTTTTTAAAAGAAGGTGCCCGGTACATTACATGATGGGGTTTCCATAGACACTGGGATGAGTACGAGCTATCAAAAAAGTCTTGTGGCATGTAAAGATTGAAGAGCTATGGGGAATGGGGACAGAATGACAGGTGGTGTTTCCCTGGTTTCAAAATTTAAAGTGACAAATTTAGTGCTAGTGAAGGATGAGGAATTAACAGTTGTACACATGGATTTTTCTACTGATCTAACCAGAACTGTGCGGACTCCCCATGGTCTTTTGGTCTTGGCACCTCAGCTCTTGTTTGAAAACTTCACTGTATTCCTGGGATAGGAAACGGTGGTTCTGGACTCACCAAACAGTGCCTGGAAAAAAAAAAAAAAAAAAAAAAAAAAAAAAAAAAAAAAAAAAAAAAAAAAAAAAAAAAAAAAAAAAAAAACAATCCTGCCAGTGAGAATATAGATGGCAGTTTTCAATCTTGACTTCATTTCCCTCGCTTGAACGCATCACATGGGCATCTTCTTGAAGTTCAGAGCCAGTCACCTTTTTGATCAAAGTCAACGAATGATGACAGGTCCACTCAGCGGTAACCTTCTGCTATGTAAGTAACTCCACGTGGTGTACCTGGAACAGTAACATCGGCCAGAGTTCACTTTAAATGTGTCCGAAGCGACCCAAAGAATCCGTACCATGGTGTGCTACTGCAGGATGAACTCGAGACAGCCAGGTCGAGGGAGAAGATAGCACCGTTTGTTTAGAATCAGAATCGTGGACGACATAGCAATTGAAGCAATTTCCCCATGGGAACTGCTGATCTTATCGAATCCCCGGAAAACACAATTGAACTGGTTTCAGGACAACTCTGGTGGTGATCACCTTTCCATTTGTCCTTTCGTCTGAAAGGGTAACCTAATCATAACAAGTATGCACATTTCTGGAGAAATCACGTGGACTAACAGGTGATTGCTACACAGGGAGGTAAATGGCCCTTCTCAGTTTTCTGGTTCTTGGGACTTTCCACGTTAGGATGACATTTACATACATTCTCTAATGAACATTTGGTCAACTTATCCAACTGGAAAAGTACTAGATTCCAGTAACTTGACGGTGTAAGATGAGGGCTTTACACAACAACAATCCTCTTGATGTATCATTTTTTTCCCCCTTTCTGAACACGTATACAATCATTTTAAAATCAACCTTCCAAGTCATCTTAGTTTCTATTAATACGAAGAACCAAAGCAGACAGGCCTATTTAAATCAACTGTATCAATGGAGATTCTCCTTTTAACATTTTAAAACCAAGTCATAATAATTACCCCCCAATCCAATTAATCACATGATTCTTTAAAGTTTTCTTCTTAGTGTTAAACCACTAAATTCAACATACTGTAACTGCATAGGAACATCAGGAAAACACATTTGACCTGTATAACAATTCTCTGTAGGGCAAAAATATATAGATTCTTTATGAAAATCATGTGCTAAGTACACGAACCGAATACTGTACTTTTTGTCTCATAAATGTAAAAAAAGGAAGCTTAAACTCTTCTGTTTCACTTACAAACAGTCCAGTGATTTATATGGGGGAGGTGGGAGTGGAGAGGTGGGAGAGTTTTAGTGTCTGAAGTACAGGCCTTCCACATGGGAATTGCCTTTTTCTTGTTTTACGCATAGGGTAGGTCCTCTCGTGGAAAGGCTAGACGACAGTCACTGCTCCCTTCCAGTTCACTAGCTGCTGATTGGCCAAATGCTCCTGCCAGCTGTCCTGAACTCCAGCTTCCTACCATATGCTCCCGTAGAACATCTGGAAAGTGAGCCCATCCATCAAGCTTGTCACACCTTGCACTCAATCTGCTACCTTCTCTACAGTGTAATGGCATTATTAAAAAGCATTTTCATTAACATTTATATTTACAAAAAAAAAACTGACTTTTTTTTTTTCATTAGAACTCCTTAAAGCCATTTCCCTTAAATATTTAAAGAGTTTAATGGTAAGGTTTTTTTTTTTAAAGTTATAAAATAAAAATCCCATTTGAATTTTCTGATGTACAAAAAGAGATAGACATGAACCATTTGACCATGGAACCAGTTTGTTATTCTGAATATTTATGTCACCGTTGTTCCCTTAGAAAGTCAGTTTTTTTAAGATCAAAAACCACATTACCAGAATTATACCAGAATTATTTGGCAAATGACTTTTCTTTGAAAATGGCACGTGGAGAAGACACTTGTCTGCATAGCATCACAGCAGCAAGATATCGGAAAAATAAAAAATATTACTTTATTGTACTTAGAGTTTAGAGCTTCTTAGGAAATCGGGTGTATTTTTCATCTTTCTCATCAATAGATTTGATGTCCTTTTTATCTCACAGAATGAAGGTTCAAACCAAAAGTTGTCTTTCTTCACCAGGATGTAGAATAGCTAAAGGATTGTTTTGGCAACATTTCTTATCATAATGAATAATCAACCACATACTTGTCTTGTGATTTCAAGTTAATTCATTTCATAGGAGGCTTTTTTTATCCAGTTAGATTTCTTCTCTCATATGTTTAAAAAAAAAAGTCAAAAGCAATGTAAAAATTTGAATACCCATTCATTTTCAACCATGACAAACAAAAGAAAGGGGAAAGATGGCAGACCAGGCTCGGTGGAGTGATGAAGAAACATCATCCTATATCAAAAGGCATATGGATGATAATGCTGTGGTCACAGAGGACCCCTTGCTTTTTTGTCTAAAAGATGTCAGTATCAACCATTTTGTCATTCTCTGATGCCTGTCACTCCAAATTTGATGTCTCTACCACACAATAGGTAGAGGAATTAAAAAAGAACTATGATTTCATCTACCAGGTCATCTTAAACCCAGCTAAGAGAACTCAGACTATTGGTTGGATAAGCATTTGCTTGATTTATGGTTGAATGTTGGGTGTGATTTTTTTGTATATATATATATATATATACTTTTGT